CGTAAAAACTGAAACTAAAATGATTTCAAGATGGTACTGCATTATTTTCATTATTAGCACAAAAACCCCAACTAGATTCTGTCTCTGAATTGCAATCACTACTTGGCTACAGCAGTCACGTTCTAAATCCAGGAGCAGAGAGACATCTAGTGAATAATTAGTCAAGTTACAGATACATCTCCTATGGACCATGGGATGTTTCTATTTCTGGACAAGAGTGTTGGAGCTGTTCTGGAGCATAAGTCTTGTGAGGAGCAGCTGAGAGACCTGGGGGTGTTTAGCCTGGAGAAAAGGAGGCTCAGAAAATACCTCATTGTCCTCTACAACTGCCTGAAAGGAGGGTGTAGCCAGGTGAGTTGGTGTCTTCTCCCAGATAACCAGCAACAGGACAAGAGGAAGTTACGTAAATTTGCACCAGGGCAGGTTTAAATTGGCTATTAGGAAAAATTTCTTCACTGAAAGTGTAACCAAGCATTAGAATGGGCTGCCCAGGAAAGCAGTTAGCTCACCATCTCTGGAAGTTTTTAAAAGACATTCAGGCATGGTGCTTAGGAATGTGGTTTTTTAGTGGAAAACTTGGCAGTGGTAGGTTTATGGTTGGACACTCTATGGTATTTAGGATTTTTATGAATCTAAACAATTCTGTTATTTTAATTCTTCCAAAAAGAAAACTCTTAAGATGATGTACTATTCGTATCACTAAAATGTCTGTGAAGCACAGAAAAAAGTGGCTTTATCATATTTGTAATTTTTGACATTCATGAATTAACAAAGCCAGCATTGCATTAATTTAGTCTTAAGTTATTTGCATGAGCAAGACGAGAAATTAAGTGGTAAATTCAGTCGCTTAGACACATAGTTTTTCTTAAACCAGTTTTTTTTTTTCTTTTTTAGAACTTCACCAGAAAGAGAAAATCTGATGACAAAATAAAGTCTTCAAATACAAGACTCCTCACAAAGAATTCTAATCCATTTTTAATATGCTATGCCACGTCCAAATTGACTTTTTTTTCCCTTGATAGTTGATATGAACTGCACAGTGAGTAAGGCTGATTAAGATTAGCTGGTAAAAGAATTGTTATATTTGAATCAAATTTCAACTGTTCTTTTACATTTTCCTTTCTAACAATGCCAAGTAAACAAGCTATGGAACTAACTACTAAAGAAAACTGTATTACTTTATTAGTGCATTCTCTGGTAATGCCATTTGCCTTGCCACAACCAACAGGAGTTGCACTGGAATGACAAAGAAAATGGGCTACACTTAGCTGCTGATGACAAACTAATGCTAGAAAGGTCTTTCCACAGACAACTTTAAAAACAAGAATTTACCCTCCTTTCATTCATCTCACTATTACTGTTGTTGCTTTGTTTGCAAAATCAAGCAAGGAGGTGAAATGACCTGCACAAAGTCCAAACAGCACAAGTATGAGCATTTAGGGTTTTTTATTTTTATATATATATATATATATGTATGTATGTGTATATATGTCTATATTTAAAATACATATTTGAAGAGCAATGGCTGTTCATGCATGCATGCAAGTGTATACCAGAAAAACAAGAGGTCAGATACTTTCAAGATCGTGTCACAACCTTGTGACTGGGTACAGAATTGCAGGCACTGTGCAAGGCTTTTTGAAGAATGAGGACTTATCTTTTTTTTTCAGTGGCCACTGAGAGGAGCCCTGTTTCCACTAAAAGGATTGGGGGTTATGAAAAGGCAGGAGACAAGCACATTAAAACACAAAGTGGTTCTTCTTCGTAGGAGATACACACCAAAAATTGTTGCTGTTACCTGTCGTGCTTTACATATATGCAGAGTATTTGTCTCCTTAGAAATTAACCTCAGTAGGACAGTAATTTCCTTCTCAGAGGAAATATCTGCCCCGGAAAATGTCCAGGGTGAGACTGATCTTATTTAACCACAGGCATTTGAAAGCTGTGTGCCTGATGTAACCCAGTCTAAATTCCATAGTCAATGAAATCAAGAAGGGGAAACACATTGCTCTTTAAAGACAATTCATCTACTTTAATCAGGGGTAGGAAAAGGGTGGGATAAGGTCACTCTGAAGTTGTCTCTCTCCATTGAAGGGTGATTAATTCAAACTATTCACCTCCCTCCTAAATGGTTAAATTTGACATACTGCTCATTTCCCCCTCCAACGTCTTGCTCACTCTCGACTTGCAAACATTTCCCATGGAACTGAAATGCCCTCAGCAACTACTAAACACAGCCAGACCCTCTCTCACCACAATATTATTTCTCTTTCATCATTACTTACCCATGTTTCAAGCTGATTCCTCCACCAGTTCCCGTTACCCAACCTAAATCATAAAACAGTCTACAAAGCTCTGGGATAAGATTCCTTGGATGTAACCCATCCTAAAAAAAATTAAATAAATTAAAAACCTTCAGAAACACCTCAAACCGAAGAATTCAAGCTTGCAAAGTGAGTTTAAAGGATTAGTATTTTCATACTGCAGCAAAATGGTCTAATTTATGCTAATGAACTTCAGTTACAAAATAACTGCATACTTACACAATGCCCTTTATGCTCTGCCAGGGACATCATACCTTGAAATAAACAAAACCCCCAAATAAGGTGCATGTCTGACTATTCTTCACAGGAAAGGTCTCATCTAAAATTTATTTGAGTGCAGTGGCCCGTAAATATTACACCATCAGGATCATGTTAAGGACTACTGCACAAAAAAAGGGAAAATAAATGCATCTGACATTATACGTTTTTAAAAGCTTGACTAATAGTTTTCCTATTAAATCAGTTTTTCTGTAGGTTTATTTTGCTTGATTTCCAAATTTTAGTAGAACAGACTTTATTAGTCAATATATATTTTTAAACAGCACTCAAAAATATCACAGAAAATATTTGAAAATTATTTTATGAACTTTACATTCCTACATTTTTACAACACAAAGTTACTTTACATGCAGTTTAGTCAGAAGGCAAATTGCATTATTTTAGTATTTCTTTAGGAGGAAAAAATAATCTTGTATTTTTTCCATATTCCATTGTTTATTACATTAATATCTGTATTTATGTATTAACCAGAGGTGTCTTTATAATATACCAGATTACCTCTGGTGTCAGAGGTAAGATTTCTACCTACATTACCACAGTAAAACTGCTGCTCTTATGGTGTGCTTTTTTTTATAGGATTTTGTTTTATTGCAACAATAAGAAGCTTTAAAAGCTTTTTCTAAAATGACAAATGATTAGCTGCTATACTGCTCATGTCAGTCATTAATGCCCATCAAATAACATTTCCAAGAAATGTTTGTGTAGCAGCAAGAATCCGCATTAGGGGAGAATATTTTGTCAACACCCACAGAACAGAGAGAACCAAAGCAAAAGCAGCATACAGCAAAAACAGGTGGTGTTGGACTTGCAGAACTAAGGGTGGGGAGGCAGTGGTTCTGAGGCAGGAGACTGAGCAGGTGATTTACTGGAGATGGCAGCTTGAGGCACGTTTGACAGTGTCTGGAATCTCCTGCTCTAACCTCATCTTTACAACCTCTAATGACAGTGAGTCATAAGATTTGTTCTCTCTTACCAAAGATCATGGACATGCAGAAGATGGTCTTCCCTTTCACCTCAGTGACAATGTTTTATCTATTATGACAACTCAATATACTGCTCTATTTTTTTTTTCTTTGTTTTGTTTTGTTTATGATAAACTAGATTCTTTCCCCCTTTCCTGACAGGCCACATTATCTAGGCTGCTGATACCTCTCATCTCCCTGCAGTCAGTTCTTGCTGTTTTTGAAGCTTGGGCTGGTGTCTCCACCAGTGTTACATACAAACTGGAGAGGTGTTCTGAGCCTTGTCCAGGTGATGCCTCCATGCGCTCAATGTTTACTGTGTTTGATGAAGCACTGCACCGCCAGCTCATGCTCTGGTTGTGATGATACATAAAACCCCAATCAAAGACCAATGCAAAAAAAAAAAAAAAATCAGAAGGAAACTAAATCACAAAACAAATCTAAACAACCCCAGTTAACATAAAAAGAGCTGTGAGTACTGCAGATGCAGCCAGACTCAGGCAGACTGACAGCTGGCAACATCCTGGAAATTGTACTAAACTTTATAACATGCTAATATAGGAGCATATAATAGTTAGGGCTGGAAGAGACCTTTGGGAAAAAACCAGTGCAATCCCCCTGCTAAGGCAGGGTCATCGAGAGCAGGTGACACATGAAAGCCTCCAGCTGGGTTTGAAATGTTTCCAGAGAGGGAGACTCCACGACTCCCTTGGGCGGCCTATTCCAGGCCTATTTACTGCCAGCCTCAACGTAAAGAAGTTCTTTCCGGAATTGAGGTGGAACTTGTGCTTTGGCTTGTGAACATTACTCCCGGAGTGCTGGACACTGAGTCTGCCTGGATCTTACTGGCTGAATTTCCCCCTGGCCGCCAGGGCACACTGCCAGCTCATAGCCAACTTGCCATCCACCAGTACTCCCAGGGCCTCCCTGCTAATTAGCGACTGCGAAGCTGCTGGCTAATTACCCGCGTTCCAGAACAGCCTCACCCCGCGATGGCGGGGAGCTCTCGGAGCGGTGGCGGGGCCCCGCCGCCCCCCGGCCCTCGTTACCTGCGCCGCGTCCCCGCCGGCGCCCGCCATGGCGTGGCCAGCGCGGGGTCCTTGCTCGGGGGCTTCTTTGGGGGGCCCCGGCGGGCGCCTGCGGAGCGCTGGGCATCCCCGGCCGTAGCACCGACTCGAGCCCCGGCGGGCGGGATGGAGAAGCCGCTGCCCTCCCCCGGGCCAGGAGCCGGCAGCGACCGGAGCGGATGTGGGTGCGCCCCGGGGACGAACAGGCAGGCCGGGCGCGGGTGCCCGTGCTGTTGCACTTGCCCGTGCCTGGGGCGATCGAGGCCGTCGGTCCCTCGGCAGGTGCTGCGGGAGGGGCAGGCGGGGGCTCGCTCAGGGGCGTGCCCGGTTATTTCTGCTCAGGCAGTCAGCGGGGCAGCCCCGGCGCGGTCGGGGGGCGGGGGGCAAGATGGCGGCGTCCCTGTGGCTGAGCGGCGGTGGGGAGAGGGTGCTGCGGCTGCTGCGGGCCGGGCGCTCGGCGCTGGGCGCGGGGCTCTCCCTGCCCGCCCGGGCAGGATGGAGGCACCTGCACGGCACCCTGGAGCTGCTGGGTGAGTGGCGGGAGGGTGCCCCGCTCTAGGGGTGTCTGCGGGGACCTGCGGCGGAGAAAGGGTTGAGGGTAGTTGCGGTGGGTTGACCCTGGCTCGATGTCAGGCATTCGCCAAATTCCCTCTACATCTCCCCTCCGCAACTGGGCAGGGGAGAAGGTTCATATATTGAGATAAGGACAGGGAGAGACCACTGGTCGATTACTGTCATGGCAGAGCAAACTTGATTTAGGGATATTAATTGAGTTTATTGCCTATCAAAATCAGAGCAGGATAATGCGAAGGGGGCGGGGGGGAACCCCGCAAATCACCTTTCCTTCAGCCTGCTCCACCTCCTCCCTTCCAGCGGCACAGGGAGACGGGAATGAGGGTGACAGTCAGTTCATGCCAGGTTGTTAATGCCGCTGCTCAGGGACACGGCTCGGAGTCCTTCCCCTGTTCCCAGGGACACAGTCCTGCAGGAGCTTCTCCAGCCTGCATCCTGCCCAAGGGCTGCAGTTCTTCACGAGCTGGGCGAGAAGTCAGGGCTGTGCCCGGCGGTGGGAGCTGTGCGTGCCCGGTGTTCCCTGGCTGTGCTGGGCAGGAACTGAGCAGGGAGCCGTGGGGAGGGGGCTGAGAGCACCTGGGTGTGTCTGCCTTGGTCTCGCAGGTACTGAGAGCGCATCGACATGTGTGGGGGCTGATAGGAGAAAACTCGGAGAGATGTGGCAATTAATTAAAGGTCTAGAAAGCAATAAATTGAAATCTAGAGAGGAAAATAAATTAAGCCTTCAAATATGAAAATGTGTTGTTGTGGATAAGGAAAAAGTTTTCACCATTGAAAACAGGAGTGTGTTTTCTCAGTGGAAATATAGCTAAGCACTGAAAAAGGCTTTTATATTTAGTTATTTTGGTCTGTTTGGCAAGTCTGCCATATTTCTGCCATCTTACTCTCCTAGTAATGTTTCAAGTAACTGGAGAAGGGTGTGTGATGTGTCTTTTATGTAAGTCTATTTGTTTTTTTAATGGAAAAATAGAGTTTATTAATTGCATGTCTAGCATCCTTTCCTACACAGTAGTCAAGGTGTGAGGTTTTGTGAACAATCTTTCAAGATGTATTTTTCAGGAGTTTGTTGTTAAACAATTATCAGGCGAACCATTTACCCTTCCATGTTTTCATTTAAGAGATGTGGGAAGGGTTACAGATCCTGAAATGAAATGTGATCTTTCCCTACTTGCTCTGTAAGTTACAACTTGTAAAACATTTAAACAATGATCAGGTGCATTGTTAGGAGGTCCTGGTGTGATGCTGAGCATGAAATACCTGAACTCTTTGAGGTTTAAGTGCACTTACAAGAAAGTGAGCTTTCATTAACCTCATGTAATGAAACTCAGTAGTAGTTCAGAGACAATTTAATCATTGTGGTTTAGATCTCAACATTCCCTTCTTTCCAGCATTGGTTGGCTTTGCTGCTTTGCAGCATGAAAATTTTTTCCGTTGTAAAAACTTCTGTGTGTGATACAGGGAAGCTGATCCCTTTCTTGAAATAAATATTACTTGTTTCCAAATTTTGTTAGAAAAGGTTTGCTTCTTTCTAAATATAATAGTATGCAAATATAATACAATGCAGGATAAGCTACTCCTAAATTGATCTTATTATTTAACTCTTTAAATAACTCTTGTCTACAGTCCTTCCAAACAATCTGTTGTGTTTTTTATGTTGAGAGTACTTAATATATAGCTGGAGTTAAATTTCTAAATTTGGATATGCAAATGCCTAAAATCTTTTAATTCCTTACAGTAAGGTTTAAAGTGTTAGGGTGGATAGATGACACCTATAACTCATTTAGGCTTTCCTCATTCAACCCTCCTAGTGTCCTTACAGCTTTTCAAGGTGGTATCTATTTTGGTGACACCATTTTTTAAACTTTATTGTTACCTCTAAAATTAAAGACAAGAAGTCATAACTTCTCTGGTAAAATACAGCTCATTTAGGCATAAAGCTCACTCTTGGTTTTTAGTTTGACAGTGTAAATTTAAGTAAATTTAATTTTGGCATTAGTTTTATTTCTCTGCTTTTCTGTTTCTGAAAAAGCCACTATTTGAAGTTTTGGTTCATGTGGATCTAGTTTTTCATGTCACATGAAATTTTTGTTTCTTTCTGTGTTTCTGTCCTTGTTTGTGGTACTGGTAGAGGAAAAGTTGTTTTGTGTAATTAAAACAGTTCAGAATGGAATTCCTAGTTTGTTTGTTACGGAAAAAGAGACAATAGAAAGACTAGAATGGCCTCTTTATGTTAGAGGTGTGTAATTTTTTTTGTTTTTAATGTTTCATAATATTATTATTGGTGTTAAGTTGCAGTGCATTTTTCAATTCTGTGCTGACTACAGAGTGTGTGTAGGAAGTTACGAAATATCTCTCTGGTGGGACAGGGTAAATATGCCTTGAATCCCTTCATGGATAGGGAAGGCAGCAGAAATGTTCCCAGATTCAACTTGACAGTTAAAACTTGTCACCAAGAACAAATTCTCATGGATACTCAGAGAGCAGTCTTTAAATAGCAGTCTCTTTTTCATGTGAAGTTTTTTTGGGTTGTTTTTAAGTCTTCTTCCTTTATATTCAGATAATTTATGTGTAATAATGCAGTTGCTGTTGATAGAAGTAAAAATCACTGGGTGGTGACTGGAAGTTCAGAAGTTTTGCTTGCTTATGGTTCTGAATTCTAATATGTCCATGAGCTTAGTCTTTGAGATTCTCTGCAAATTGCCAGAACTTTTTGCTGACCCACAATTGCAGAGCAGCAATGTTTACTTCCCAAGGTGCTTTTGAGGGCTGCCTGTACAGTGCAACTAGCTTACATAAACACAGTGATTCCTTTTATTGTCTCCTTTTTTAATTTACTGAGGGCAAATACTATTTGGTGAAGGCAATTCTACACTGTAAGGTTGCTTTTCTTTGAGGAGGCACATTTAAGGAGGTTAAAGCACTTTGAGTGCTTCTAGCACTTTGAGGAGGTTTTTGTACGTGTTTAGTCATTAGCTAAAAAGCAACAGCTTTGAAAGGCTGTTGTTGTGCTGGTGTTCTTGTGTATCTCGTGCTGAACAAGGCTCTTAATTGTAACAGCACTGAACTCTGAGCATGGGTCTCTCTGGGCATAAGCATTAAATGGATGCACAAGGTCCTGTCTTCTACTTTGTATCCAGTTTTATTTATTTATTTGTTCAATTCATGGCTACTTGCTGCTGGAGCGCCTCTTCTGACTTGATGAAAGGACCAGAATGGATTGTATGTTTTGTGGTAGTTGCTCGTAACATTGAAGGGAAAATGTTGCAGTGGCACAAATTTGTTGCTCAGTTTTGTATGTGCCAAAGTATGAAGCATAATCTGGGAAATGGATCAAGTAGCTCTTTATGAAAGAAAAATGTGAGCCACCATGTTTAAAAATTTTTTTTTTCCTCATTAAAAATGTGGATTATTTTCACTTTTAAAAATGAGGTCTGTCCACTAGTTCTCAATAATCCTAGATATTTGTGGGATATCACTTCAAAATAATGTTTTGATTGTCAAAGTCAGACTTGTCAAGTTAGGCTAATGAAACTGAGAACACTTCTTTGCATCCTGTAATGTGTCATAATGTATAATGTTTTCTACTTGCTGTTATTGAGAAATTATTTTTGAGTAAATATGTATAGTATAAGACTATTGTTAACTCATACTTTAGTTTTTCAGTCATACTACAAAACTTTATTTGGTAAATGAACACAGGTAAGCATTCACATACATAACATAGTTCATTTTTCTGTATATCAGTCCTAAATGAGAAGTTGCAAGAAACTTTTTTAAAGAATTGCATGGAGGTAATTCAGATGAGAACTATGAGTGTTACAAGGAACATTGTCTGGATACATTTCTAAACATGACAGTCATGAGTAATATTAAACTGAAACTACCATGGAAAGACTGAGACAAAAAAATGTGTATTTGCTCATGCAGTGTTCTGGGAACATCAACCATGCAATTGAGCTTATTTCCACAAAACTCAAGGGTTTTGGGTTGTGTGATTCTGATTGTGTTGCTGACTTGGGGGCTTTAGGGAGTAACTAACTCACTTTCTGTTCTTGGTGCGTTTTAAAATGTCAGGATCATTGATGGCTGCTTAGGTCATTAGAAGTTTGCTACAATGGTTCCATTTCACATTTTAAAAAAAATTATAGAGTGGTTTGGCTTGGAAGGGACTTTTAAAGGTCATCTAGCCCATCGCCCCTGCAATGAGCAGGGACATCTTCAAATACCAGGTTGCCCAGAACCCCATCCAACCTGGCCTTGAATGCTCCCAGTGGCTAGGCATCCACCACCACTCTGGGCAGCCCATTTCTGTGTTTCACCTCTGTCATTGTAAAACTCTTCTTACATCCAGTCTAACTCCTCTCAATTCAAACTATTACCCCTTGTTCCATTGCTATTGGCCCAATTAAGAGGTTGGTCCCCATCTCTCTTAAAAGCCCCCTTCAGTAACTATGGAAAGACTGCAGTAAGGTCTCCCTGGAACCTTTTCTTCTCCAGACTGAGCAACTCCAATTTTCTTGACGTTTCTTCGTACAATAGGTGCTCTCTCCCTCACCATTTTTGGGGCTGTCCTCTGGATCCCCTCTAACACATCCATATCTTTCCTGTGCTGAGGATTCAGGAGCTGGATGCATTTCTCCAGGTGGGATCTCACCAGAGCAGAGTAGAGAAGCAGAATCACCACCCCTGACGTGCTGGCCGTGCTGATTTTTACGTGTCCCAGGCTATGTCTGCCTTCTGGGCTGTGAGCCACAACCTGCTGCATGGCAACTTTTCATCTGCCAGTGCCTCTAAGAGACTTGTCACCAGTTTCCATTGAGATGATGACCACTACCCTCTGGATCCAACCCATTCCTCACCCACAAAAGTCTACCCATCAAATCCTTATTTCATCAATTTACAGAGAACAGTGTTGTAAGTCCAAAGAGGTGGCATCCATAGCCTTTCTTTGTTCACTGGTGTAGCCATTACATCATATAAAGCCACTAGGTTGGTCAGGCAGGACTTGCCCTTGGTGAAGCTGTTCTGGTGTCCTTAAACACTTCTCTGTTCTCCATGTGCCTTAGCACAGCTTCTGGGAAAAAAAAAATGGGCAAGGAAAAAAACTAAAAGAATTTTGAGCTGAAAAGCAGATAAATAGGAAAAAACTGAAAAATTATTAACTTCTAAGTTTTGATTTTTTTTTTGCTGTTTCTGACTACTCCAAGAAATACAGCAACTGGGAGAAATGTGATGTTTCCTACTGAATGATAACAATCCTTATTGCTGGGTATTAGAGAAAAGGGAATATGGAACAGAAATGAACCTTGCCACTGTATACAATGTACCTTCTACGTGTTTATTTCTGTTCTGTAACTGAACACAAGTTCAGATATAATAGTTCAAGAAAGAGCCTCAAAAATCAGGTATTGGAAAGCTGCTTTTACAAAATTGATCTAAAAAGATGCTTCTCTTTTTTTGCCTCATAACTATATTTAAAAGTCTAAAAAGGTAGTATCTCTCATATTAATGTCAGAATACTCCTTTGGTATAGAGGATGAGATGACAAGAGGTGCAATTTGCTGTGAGGCTAACGACTGTGCTGTATCCTGCACTCAGAAGAATCCCACTAGCATGGCACACAGTCACTGTTACGCAGTGCTGCGTCTGCACGAGTTTATGAACCAAGTGAAATTACTGAAACTTGAAATCACACAATTTCTGCAAAGTAGATATAATTTTCTAGTAAAAAGGATAAATAAACATTAAAAAAGTTTCAGTAGAAGAGGTATATCATCAGTGTCTGGAATACTAGGATCACAAAGGCTTTATTAATTTAAAAGATCTGCTTTAATCTGAAAAAAAAATCCACAGCCTGAGTCAAGGAGGAGAAGGATGACAGGAGAAAGGAGGATGTAGTGCTTTTGGTGGATTTTGAGATGATCCACAAAACTTCAGGTCTGGGAATTCAAGGTTTTTGGATTTCCATTTTTCTTTTAATGTGCCTTTTTTTCCTTTGAGCTCTTTGGTGGGCATGATGTATATAAGCTTAAATGAGAAAAAATGAGCATCATAGTGAATCTTTTGTTCAATTATCTTTCAGATACTTGCACTTTTACTTGAATTTCTCAGTTAGGCAGTTAACTGAGAAAAAAAGTATGCTGAAAAAGTATTCAGTTGAGATAAGCACGTGCTTGTTTTGCAGGTACACCTGGTATTAAAGTTCTTATGCCTGCACTTTCTCCAACAATGGAAGAAGGAAACATTGTGAAATGGTTAAAAAAGGAAGGTAAGACAGAATTTTCTGTGGTCACATTTTCCATAATTTTTCAGCCATGTAAATCTATCCTGTAAAAATAAGGTAATTCTTCCTGGTTATAGATGAGTATTTTGAAGAAAAATGTTTGGTGTATGGATGCTGTCATCATGAACTATACCTGCTTTTAAATTGTTCATTCTTGAAATGTTTTCTTGCTTAATTGTCTTCCAAAGGTTGCATATTTTCGAAAAATTTCCATCAGGCTGTTCCAGGGAGTGAGTGTTTGTGCTGTTTTTAATTCCCAGTGTTGTCGTGCTGCTTAGTAGCTTTTGAAGTCTGAGAGCCATTGGCTTTGGGGAGGGTCTCTCTTTCATTATTCTGCTGTGTTATGGAATACCATGAAAGATATGATATTTTTGAATATCTTTTTAAATATCTTGTTTATAGTCTGCAGTTAAAACCAAGAGAAATTTAAATTACTTTCATAACCCTGGTACCAAATGGGGAATTTTTTCACTAAAAGAACCCAAGCTGAAAACCAGCCTACTCATCCAAAAAAAGCCTGAACTGTGTGCTCTGGCAACTATGTGCTTCTGTTGAAATCTTTTGGAGCAACTGGATAAAATGTCTGTCAAGTTTTGTCTTCAAGGTAGGTTGTATGTAAATGAAAAATGGTCTGTAGAAGAGTCAGCAGTTCCTGTTCTGTCAGGAGACTTTTGTCCTGTGTACTCCTACCCTATCCCTTCTTCAGTTTAACATGAAACCTAAATTTTGACTGTAGTTTTAGTTTCCAAGCAGCTGTTCATTGGTATAGGATGCATTGCAGGGTTTTGGATAGCAGTAGGAATATTGTTTACAGGCATTTTTAAATTTCCTAAAGAGATGATTACATCTGGAGAAAAGAAAATGCCTTAAAGCTTATTATCTTTGACAGACTCAATTTGGATAGCTAAACATGTTTTGACTATTGTGCCTAGATAAGCCTTTTCCTTTGGCTTATCCTTGGAAATGCTGATACAGCTTCCATTGTTGTGTTACTGGAGAACTTTGGTTTTCCTACATTTTGAATACATTTTGAGAGGTGGCTGGAAGACAGCTTCTTGCTCCGGTAGTGGACTTGGCCTTTTGCTCATGAAACTTTTATTAAGAATTTCTGCAGAATTTACTGGGAACAATTCAGAAATTTGTATATTAAAAAAAATGCACCAGTGTTCTTGAAACTTGAAGCTTCAGTTAATCAAGTCCAAGATGATGCAGAGAGGAAAGAATAATCCAAAGTCCTTTTTATATTCTTTAGTTATTAGTAATTGTAAAACATTGAATGTCAACAGTAGCTTGTTTTACAGTAATTATAGCATTCAAAATTTCAAGAGAAAGAAAAGAGAGCATGGTAGGAGTTGAAGTAGATTCCACTTTGCTCCCCAACATGAATGAATCCACTTTCCTTATTAAAAAGTGTTAGAATTTAAAAGCCATACAATGGTCTTCTCAGTCTTTCCACTAGCCCTCCACCCTAACATAAAAGAAAAGAAAGCTTCACACCTATTTTAATTAAATTAAAATCAAATCTTAATTGATGATTAGACTTTGAAAAAAAACTATTTTAGTATTTTTATTGCTCTGTTTTTTTTTATTTAGAAAGAAGACCAAATATATTTTATTTAGAAAGAAGACCTAATCCAAATATAATATTTTGTCTTATTGGCCACATCTATGACCATAATTCCTATAAAAGGATCATAAGTCCTATCAATACTTTTGTTTCCTCTAAGAGTCTGGACAATTAACATAAAGACAATATTAAAAAAAGAAGATAAATTTTGAAGAAAATAGTGAGGTGATTTAATGCTTACATGCCTCTCTGTAAGGGATGATCTTAACTACCTAATTCCCTAGAGTGTTTGCCATGTAAGAGTAGTGTTATTGCTGAGTATGACAATCTAATTGACAATCTAATGTCCAAGAAAATAAATACTTTGTAAGCAGTTGACAGAAGCAAGCTGCTTGCATATGAAATGTTTCTCCCACTGTATAACCAGAAGGGGTCAGTATAATACTATTTTGATAATCTTTCTGTTCTTTGTGTAAATATCAAATGTTTTCATTTTATGGTTTCACAGGATGGACAGATAATTTCACTACTGCAGAAGGGAAAGCACTGAATTTAATTGATAGCTTTACTTTTCCTTCTCATTGTTAATGCAGTTTCATGTAGATTCCTGTGGGTAATAAAGTCATTCTCACAAAGATAAAACTATGTTTCTAAAAACTTGTATTTATTATGTATGAATTTAATGTTGATGAAAGATGATAGACTGACAGCCCTGGAGACCAAAATCCTCTTGTTAATGTGGGCAGAAAACAGAAGATTCAACAGTGTTGACAGCATCCACACACTATGTAACTCGGCTACCTTTTGAGATATCAGCTCCAGGGACTTCAGTATCTGTGTTCAGTCAACTCTGATTTTATTTGCAACATTAAGAAATACAGTTTGTATCTTGTGATTTGGATACTTGTCTGTCAGTAATTGAACAGAGCACCAAGGCTATTGGATGCCAATCGGATCTCCTGGAAAGAAACTTGGCATCAGTAGAGATTCTAGGCATTCAACTTAGCTGTGGGAATTTAATCATTAAAACAAAATCAAAACCAAACAAACAAAAATTTAAAAAAAACAAACAAACCAACAAAAAACCTGAAGCCCACTCAATTTTTCAAGGGCGTTATTGTAATCTCAGAGAGGTCTGGTTCAGGCAGCTTCTGTTGCGAACACTGCTCTCTTAGTTTAAAGTGTAAGAGCAAAGATATGCTTTGCAAAAGTGTTCTAATCCTAATTATTGGGAAAGCTGATTTGTAGTTGACATCAAACTGGGCATCAGTTAAGACCTATCACATATATTGCAGTCTCTAGTGAAAGTAACTACGGTCCTTTCTGTTGCGCTTGGGTACTGAAACATCCACAGGACTTGAATGCTGCAGTGAAGTGAATTCTTATACTGCGTTTATTCAGTTGCCTTTCAAATTTGTGGTAATTTTATGGCTGCAGCAATGAGAGGAAAACAAAAAAAGTAATGGAAATGTGGTTTATCCAGTTCTCTGAAGACTTTTCCTGTTGCCCTCCCTGTGGAAGACAAAGTTAGTTTTCCGTGAACAGCCTTAGGTACCCAAGTTGAGATGTGAGGTGTGACAAACACATGGATGGTGATATTTGCTTGGCTGGCCTATCCTGCTGGAGGTACTGCTATCGGTCTCTGAGCACTGATATTTATTTTTAATGGTGCAGAATGCTTATAGTCTGATGGCAGATTAAGATACAGAGTTAACCTCCTTTCTACTGCCAATCTTAGCTCTGCAAATTACAGAATTTGCCCAACAATTTGATTTTTTAACAGCTGAGAAGTACTTGCCTAATGATCTGATATATATGGCCTACTTGAATTAATGATCCAGTGAAATTAAAACACTTGTATAGAGCCTGGAGTTTTGACTTTCTCTTATAAACTGTTCATGCTCCAGTTATTGCAAAGTGCAATGTGGCTGTTAGATTATTACATTAAAAATATGAAGTATATTTCTCTATCAATTTCTGTAATAGGAGCGTTTATGACTTATAAAACTATGTAGGTGACTGTGCTTTTGATGTTTGCATTTAACAAAAGTGAGGCACGACACCTCATTTTCCCTTTCTAATTGGTGTAGTCCTGAAGCAGGAATTCTTTTCTTTTTTTTTAATATAGCGTTGTCTCTTTGCCTAAATGTGGGTGGTAACTAGGTTTTAATTCTGCTCCTTAAGCACAGTAGAGTGATACCAGTTGTTAAGCTAAATGCTTAGACAGGTTATGGTGTTATGGTGTTTCTGGTAACGGGGAAATACTAAAATTTTACTTCATATAAAATTGTAGGCATGTTTTAGGCTTGAATGTGTTGTGTCTGTAAGGAAAAAAAGCTGTATTTTGTTGGAAGCCAAAACATTTCAACTACCTCATAGTTTTTACTCTAATGGCAGTTTAATGTTGGACAGCTAGTCAGTATTGATTTGTTGAAATAATCCAAACACATAATATCTTTATCATCTGCTAGCAGATACAGATATTCTTCAAAAGCAAAGGAAGAGTGTGCTTCAAAATTAATCTTGGATATGTGTAATGTAGCAAAAGCAATTTCTAGCACTTGTGCATATTTTTATTTCACAAAGTCAGTATGAATGAATGAATGCTTAAAAAGACCTTTCTGAACTATATAGGAGATTAAGCAAGCTTGCAGCTGTGCTTTCCCAAAGACATTAAAATTCCTGAGGTTTTTATTTGAATGTCTTTAATAGTGTAGACACCAGTACAGAACTACGATAGCATTGTCCTAAGCAGTTTTATATAGGTTGCTGGTGGCTAGCGGTGAATGTGGAAGGCTCAGTATTTTAATCATGGCAGTGCTATTGATTATGGGGTTCTGGAAATAAATTTCATTGTGTGTGTACTTCCTCTTGGAAAGCCTGCTGTAAACATCAGTACTTGGAACATGTCAGTATTCTACCACAGCAGTTTGTGGTTCTTGAATCTTGGTGATTTTATTTGGAAAGGAAAGGCACTATATGATAAGTAATGATGGGGGATAAACTAGCTATAATATATATTAAAGAATACAGAATGACTATATTATATGATGAATATCTATCTTCCATGATTAAACAAATCTGAAAGGAAGTTTAGGGTAAGTATTCTTAAGTTCTGTTGTGTTTTGCAGGTGACACAGTGAATGTTGGAGATGCATTGTGTGAAATTGAAACAGACAAAGCAGTGGTTACCATGGAATCAAGTGATGATGGCATATTGGCTAAAATACTGGTAGGAATCATGCATTTCTCAGTAGGGTATTATAACTTCAGACAGTTGTTTAGCATATTGCCTCAAAAATTAGTTTTGATAGCTAAATTTCTGCTCAGCATTCAGAAAATAGCACTTGCTTGCATTCCTGGAGAAAAGTAATTGCTCTGTTTGTCCCACACATCTACCAGACTGTTGGTACGTGGTGTATGATTCTTTATGTATTTAATTTTCACTTAACCTTATTGACGTGTTTGTTTTGTATGCTTTACACCTGGTGAATTATGTCCATGAAATATTGTAGTTTATGACATCTCTTACTTGGCGTTATAGGAAAACAATTAACAATCTGTTGGAATATGGAATTTTGGGTGATACTTTACCCAGGATGTGTTGTCTCTGTGCTAGGTTGTCTTGTGCCAGTCATTCAGGGTGGAATGTTATACCAGAACGGTTCTTGGAGTTAATAATTTCCTCTATCAAACTTAGATTGATTAAGCTTATTGTAAAGAACAAGAACTGGGATGAGTTGGAAATTCTCCAAACCAGTCTCAGCTGTTTCTTCTCTCCCTCCACAATAATTAAACAACAGGCTGAATTGCAAGGATTTGAATAAAATAAATAAAAATATGAGAGATGTGTACTTACAGTAAATATCATGTCATTTGATCAGGGAGGTCTCATCTAGGGACTATCTGCCCCGTGAGGTGTGGATCACATAATCATACAAATTAGGCATACTGATAAGAATTGCAGTCCAGCTGCTTAGGAAACAGCAGAATGGGCACGGGTACAAACTGGTTCCTGGAGCTGTGAGAAAATCCAACCCTACTGACAGTGAGACATGTGTTTCTGCTGCTATTACAAAAGCTTTTTGGATTGGTATATTAGACTTCCTATCTCTGCTACTGTTGCATTTTCTTACATCAGCATGTATTTGCACAGTTATCCTTTGCAAAAATAGAAAAGGCAGAGTAATTTCCTGTGGGGCAGCATTTGAGAAGCGATGTTCTGTTTGGTATCTTCCTTTTTTGAATAAGCAAAGGCAGCATCCTTTGCAAATGTGAAAGTCTCAAGATAGACGAGAGGCTGGGATAGGGAGGAGAAAGGATGTGAGATGGAGCTCAGCTGTAAATGAACTCTATCAGGGTTTACAAAAATTGTCATTAGTATTTAATTTCTGCAGGATAACTTGCATTTAAGCACGAGTGTATATAGAAAGAGGTTTTTAAATATTTTTCCTTCTTTTAATTGCGTTAAAATGCTTTCATTATTTTTAAATCTCTCTTCTTCAGTTTTGAATGTTTCTGAAAATCAGTTTCCCCCTAATAGCCTTGACAAAAATCTTGTGCAACCTATTCTGCATTTGCAGACACTACTTTCTTAGATAATGTGAGGGGGAGATATGGGGATTCTCTCTGTCAAAAGTATTAAAGAATTAATCTTAGAGAGATATTAAAAAAAAAAAAAAATTGAAATTTACTAAGTTTCTTTAATACTAATTTATGATGTCTACGAGTAACATTAGTATTTCAGAAGTTGTGGGGTTTTTTGTTTCCTGTCTTGTATTTCAAATGCATTGTAAATTTCAAAATTTCTCTTTGTGTGTTGCTCTTGTGGCACATTTTTTGATAGATCAAAGGCAGACTTTCCAGCAGCTACATGATATCAGTGTCATGGAGCAGTGACATTCAGCCTTAGTTATATCCGTCTCATCCAGTAACAATCCAGTGCCAAGAGCTGAACCTGAGAAGATGTCAGAGGTAGAAAATAACTATAGTGTCTTTCAGAATAATGGAGGGGAGAGAGCTTTATTGGAGTAACATGAACAGATCATTATGCAAACCCAATTTTTAATGGATTCTTTTAATCCTTGGAATCTAGAAATGGTGGGCATAAGAATTAGAGTACAGAATGGCTTTTATTCCAGTCTCCTAAAAAGTATAAAAAAACCTGATGTTTCAGCAACTAAAATAACAAGAGAGCTGTAAGATCAGGAATTTTCATGGTTTTTTTTCTTTTTTCCATAGTTCAGATGTGATCCTTGGTTGTCTTGCTGCAGTATCTGGTGGATATTTCTGCTCTGTATTAGGTCTTCAGTAGATGTTTGTGGAAGGTTTATAAAACAAGCTGTGCCAGGTTTGTGGACGGGGTGATGATTTCGTATTGAAAGATTGTCCTTCCAAGGACAGAAGTTTCACATGTGGTGTAGCTGATGGGAATTCAAGAATGTTTTGTGCCTCTGAGTTAGCATCTGGCTGAATTTAATTCACTTACTAAAAGAAATGAGATAAAAATGGTGTGCCTTTTGATGGCAGCTACAATTCTGAACCATCTTGATGGAGTTCAGTATGGAAAGCTTGAGTCAAATGAGCATGCTGTCTGCTTAATGCTTTGGGTTTTGCATTTAAAGATAGGAGGTTCATTAGGTTAAATTAATTCAACTTCTGTAACCTTTCTTGCTTTTTCTTAACTGTATAATCTACGTATGGTTTAGGATGAGCAGGCTAAGAGCGAAATAGAAACTCATGCATATATATTTCTTCTCTATCTGAATAGGTCTTCTAATGATCACATCTGATTTAGTGTCAAATGCATTAAAAGATTAAATAACTGAATGAAATATTAGAAGGGTAATTTCAGAATGAATATTATTCTTTCAATAGAGTTTCTTCTTAGCTTAACACTGATTTTTTTTTTTTTTTTCACCTAAAATACAGTTCAATTTGGAACAAAAAAGATAATGATTGTTTAAGAACTGTAATTAATTGTTGAGGAATAGACTTAAAGCAGGTACTGGTCTTGCAGCTGCAGTGGGAGCTGCAGGTTTTGCCCTGGGTGAGGGATGTGGTGGGAGCACCAGAAAAAGGGCTTTGACCTGGTGCTGACCCTTTGCACAGTAAAGGGCACAGGGACCTGTGGCGCTGGCTAGGTGACCGGACACTGGGACACAGCAGGAGCCAAGGGCTCAGCAGGAAGACCCCAGACTATCACAGCACAGACTGAGGGTATGAAAGCACAGGGATTCCTTTGTTTGTGATCCTTCCTCAGAAGCACCAGCTTGAGCTGTTTTTTTGTTACTGGGCCACAATTAGAATTGCTTTAGGGATCTGAGATTCTGCTATGGGAAACCCAGTCAATCTGGTGAGGAAGCCCTGTCTGAATGTGGGGCAGGGCATGCAGGGTGCCAGGCAAGGCACCCTGGAGGTCACTGGAGCCACCCACTGCAAAGGAGCTTTGGTCCCTGCTCACGTGGTGGTACTGTGACTGCCAGAGTGGCTCCTGGATGTTCAGACAGGACTTTACAGGTTTCCCTAACATTAGTATCTGTTACCATTTTCTCATTCACTACCTAAAGGAGAATTGGTATGGAAACCACTTTGTATAAAAATTCCACTGCAGAATGAGCCAGCATAAGTTCCATCCCCTTTTCTTCCAAGTGGAGGAAATCAACATTTACTTTATTATATATTTGTTAGTGACTAAAGCACTATTCTGCAGTGGCAAAAGTCCCAAGGGAATTTTACTTCTCTGTTCACTTTATCTCAAATTTTTTCTCCCTGGCATGGTCACCTGTGCTTTGTTGGTTTGTCAGCAAAGCTAGGATTTTTTTGACTCTTCTTAGCTGCATAGAGCCATAGAATCATTGAATGTTTTGGGTTGTAAGGGCCCTTAAAGATCATCTTATATACCAGGGGTGCCATTCACTAGATCAGGTTGCACATGGCCCCATCCAACCTGGCCCTGAATGCTTCCAGGAATAGAGCATCCACAGCTCTTATAGGCAACGTATTCCAGTGCTTTACCACCTTTGAGTAAAGCATTTCTTTCTCACCTAAAACTGCCCTCTTTGATTGTAAAACCCTTGCCCCTTGTCCTGCCTGTATAAAAAGACATGTATGTTCTTCTTCCCTTTTATAAGACCCTCTTGAATACTGGAAGCCTTCTATAATGTCTTTCCAAAGCCGCCTCTTCTCCAGGCTGAGTAACCCCAGCTCTCTCAGCCTGTCTGTAGAAGTGCTTCAGCCCTCTGGTCATCTTTGTGGCCCTCCTCTGGACCCACTCTTAACAGGTACATGTCTTGTAGAGGACCTCAGACCTGGACACAGCACTCCAGATGGGATCTCACAAAAAGGGAGTAGAATCATCTCCCTCGCCCTTCTGGCACACTCCTGCACTGCCTTTCTGGGCTGTAAATCCACACTGTTGGCTTGTGTCCAGCCTCTTATCCCAGAACCCTCAAGTCCTTCTACTTATTTCAGCTTTCTACATCTGAGATTCTGGGGTTCTCTGAAGTTTATGCAGAGTTGTTTTTTTTTTATTGTGGGTAATGGAAATGTAGCAGTGACTCAAAAATCCAGGAGATGAAAAGTTAAGCAAAATTGTAACAATTTTTTTTTCTATTCTCATTCTGAGCTGCAAAGGCTGTGTGTATGAAGAGTTGCTTTGATTTCTGAGTGCTAACTTTAGGTGTATGGGATTTGTGGCATAATTTAATGTTCCTCTTCTTATAATAGCAGTTATAATTAATTTCAGTCTTGAAATTTCTTATTAATAGTAGCAATAAAATGGGATATATCTTACTGATGAATTGTCATTCATATGCCTGAAACTTCAAGATCTACCAGTTTTAGTCATATTAGAGCAGACAGTGTAATATGTAACTTAATGTTCTTAATTGAGGTGGAAGAAGGAAGCAAAAATGTTCGCTTGGGCTCACTAATTGGTCTTCTGGTAGAGGAAGGACAGGACTGGAAGCAAGTTGAAATACCAGCTGATGCTGCTGAGCCATCTTCTGTGGCTCCACCTGCACCTGCCTCAGCTCCTGCAGCTCCTTCAGTTTCAGCTCCTCCTAAACTGCAACATCAACCTGGGAAATTGCAGTAAGTTGCTATGTTTGTCATGAAATGGAGCTCTTCATCAGATCATTAAAACTGAACCAATAAATATTTTTTGTCCCTTTTTACCTAGTAGAAGGCTGTTAGTTTGAGAGTGTTTCAGTCTGATGTGAGATGATAAACCTTGCAGGCCTAGACTATTTCTTTGCTCATAAGACTGGTAAGTCAATTCAAACAACATATTATTAAAATTAAATTTAAATAATGATTTTATTCTGTCCTGCAATTAAATTATGAAGGATTATAAGCTTACAGTTAGAAAGAAGTTGTGTTAATACAGGATGGACAATAGTGCTTATGCATCAGATACTAGGTGTACTTATGCCTTGTTTTCTGTTTATGTAGGGAGGAAAAAATAAAGAAATGGCACACTCTAAGGTGTATTGTATTTTTGATATTAGAAAAAAATTATTCTAATATTTTCATAACAGTGCAAAAAAATTTAGTCAGTTTATGTGCTCTTTTTTAGTTTGGTTTGGATCTGTTGGTATTGTAAGCATTGAAAACATCTTGGAGGAGGGGTCAGCTCTAGAGTGTTAGTCAGGTAACAATAATCCATAATCACTTTGTGTCCCAGGATATATCCTGTTTGGAGGTATTACTCCTTATTTGCACTTATTTTTTTTTCCCAAACCTCATTATCTTTTCTATCTAGTTTGCTGCGTTCTAAATGCTGCCAGCATTTAGGCTTTTCTCACGCAGGTGGAAGACAACTGAGGTCATTGCCCAGGCATTACCTGTAGTAGGAGGATGGTCCACAAAAGGATCCTTGAAAGGATTATGTCTTTCCTTGCAGTACCAAAGTCAGAAGTGCTGTCTCACTGCTACTGTGAGAGATAGATCAGCATGTTTGTAACCAAATGGTCATTTAGGACATGGGGTTTTTTTGGCAAGGGCTTAATGGACCATTCTTAAAATTCAATGAGGTGCAAATATAGTCTCCTTTAGGAAATAGTTGATAGGAGATTTTGTGGAAATACTTTAAACCAGATATTTATTCTTTTGAGTGTGTTGTTCCTTTGCATCTAAGAATTCTAAAACATTTAGAGAAAATGTTGGATTTTCTTCTCATTTCAGAAAGCAAATCACATTAAGATGCATTGGGTACTCTGCGCCAATGTGCTGTGCTTTGTAGCTGACCAGAGAGAAATATAGTTTCTCATGATGTACATTAATGAAATAAGGTAATATTACTATTGAAATTTTTTTTTCCCCCTCATTTCTTCAGGGTTCGCTTAAGTCCTGCAGCTCGCAACATTCTGGAGACACATGGACTAGATCCAAGCAATGTTACACCTACTGGACCTCGAGGAATCTTCACTAAAGAGTATGTAGATAATTTGATAAACCTACAACTTCTGATACTAGAGCAACCTCCATTAGGTTAAAGTTTGCTTATTAAAAAAGCTGTCTTTGTTCCATTTTTTTGCTCTGGATGGGTTTAGTTGACTTTGAAAAATCTGTTGAAAAGATAGGGAGAATGGATTAGGAAGTATTTGCAGAAGTCCTTAATTAGGCAAACGCAAAACATTTATTTGTATTTTTTAAGTCACATCTTAGCTGTGTGCTACTGCTGTCACATTTCTTGCAGCTCAGCCTAATGTTGGCTGTTGCCTCCTAAGAACAACTATTAGCTACCACTGTGGATCTTAAGAATTTTAGTTCCCAAGATGCATACAGAGCCAAAATAAAATATCAGTGGCCTGTTTTCTTCCATTCATTTTCTTCAGATCTTTTGCTTTTTTGCTGCAGTTCTGTTCTAAAATCTATCAGGATTTTGTTTTTTTCCATTTTTTTTAGTCTGGGGGGAGCAATGAATGGAATGAATTCCAGAATTCTGTTTTTCTCCCACTTTTGTTTGTCTTCTCTATGATTTAAAGAATGTTTATTTACAAAGCTGTGGTTTGTTATGATCTAGTAGTTTTATGTACCTTTTTGAGTATTCCAATGTAATGTTGGGCACTCAAGGCTTTGAGTGACAAATTTGAGTGTAAAAAATGTGGTAGATCCAGGGCATTTAGCCTTGAAATGATGCATTCTCTTCACACGAATATGTATGTCATTGGAAGTGAGGATTTTGGCAGAAATAAATATTTTTGTTCTCAGTAAAATTATTCTTTTTGACAAATAACTATGATTCACTTACACAGACTTTGCTGGCTGCTGTTAGTTTAGTTCTATTCAGACAATCAGGACCAGGTCACTGTACTGCAACTGGAGCCAGAAAAGTGGCAGACAGTTTTTCAAAGCTTTGTTGTTCTTATGACCTTTGGCTGAGTTGAGATGTAATAAGGAATTGAATAGATAGAATATGCTATGTAACAGCAAATCATCAGAGAGAGTTCTTTCTTAATTATGTAAGTGTAATGGTAATTTATGGTGTGTAACGAGGCTATGGCAGGTGGAAACCCTCTAGGACTTTGAGCTAACAAATCAACATTTTCTAGTTGTCATGGAGATCTAGCAAAGATTTTTTTGTAGTTATGAGAATTATCTAGCAAAAATAATTTATTTTTAAAACTTTTTTTCATACAAAAGATTTGACTATGAAATGTCAATTTAAGATGAAGAATGTCTGAGGCTTTCTAACCATTCTTTTGAAATGGGCTTAATCTTTCAGATGTCTACAGACTCTGCTCTTATATTCAGTTTGAAATGAAATTTGCAGATTTTTATAGAGAGCTGCAGCAGATATTCAGGGAAATATTTCCTTTGCTGCATTCACCAGATTACAAGAAAGATAGCGGGTTACGTAAGCAAGGAAGATTCTTTCCCCCAACTTTCTATCTTTAAATTCAATTAACTGTAATACTTGCAACAGCAGTTGGAACTTCCACTCTACTGGCATTTCTGTCATGACCCTCTCCCTTAATAAACCAATACTTTATTTTATTTATCTGTATACTTTTATTTATTTATATTTCTCATATGTGTTTGTTCAAGGTTGAATTACTGTTGTCTTTTTCCTTCCAATTTTATTGTTGTTGGTTTTGTGTGTGACTTTTTTTACCGAGTGGCAGTGGTTTTTTATTTGTTATTTCTAATTGATATCCTCTTATATCACTTAATATAATTTTCTTCAAAAATGTCTTAGAAAAATCTCACAAATTCTGTCAGAGATTGTACCATGTTTCTACTTGTCAGCTCAGACACTGTTTGGGAGGGCTATATTAAAACTGATTGTTTCAGCTGCTACTGCCTTTTCCCATTCTGTTTCACAGTGGTTAGGGACTTAAAAATGCAACCGTGAAAAGGCTGCTTACTGAGAAACCATGTTTTTCTGAGGCTGTCTTGCTCCCAGATGTTGGTGGGGATCTCTGAGCTGCTCAGGTATTTTCAGCTTGCAAAGAACCCACAGCACACACATGGAATGTTGTTTTTCTGGAGATTAAATTCATGTGCATGTATTCAGTATGAACTGACCCTGGGATCTCTGCTGTGTGCAATTTGTTAGCTGCCATGTGGGAGGAATGAGTTCCTTCTATAATGATAATGCAGTAAGTCTGACAACGTGGTCTTTTCTGATGTGCTCTGAAGTTCTGATGTGCTCTGAATCTCTGCTAACCATTTTCCTTCTTCCAGGAAATCTATTAATTGAGTAAATAGGTTGTAAACATGTGAAAGGGAAATATGAAACATATGAAAGGAATTGGGAACAATTTAGTAACAGTAATTGCCACCACAGGAATCTTGTGTCAATCCATGCATCTCTTGTTGCACCATTGGATCCTCAGAGATTCTTAGGTGTCCATATAACCTAACTTGTCTATATCAAGAAAAGTGTATTTTGAACACAAAGTACTCAGTTTTCTTTCATCATTCTTTGGATTTTGGCTAACATGAAGTGAAAAGACTACGCACTTCTGTAGTAGTGGTAAACTGAAGTGTAACAGAGTTGCCAGAATCTGCATATTTCTAATAACAGTTTGGTAAGGCATATTTTTGTTTAAAAAATATTTAATAAACTCTCATATCTTTTTTGCAAAGCAGGCTGCTTTTTCATGTTTGTTACCTCTCTTTCTCTGTTACTGACCCATGTTGATAGAAATTTAGAGTTGTTGGAAAGATGTGACCAACTCTTCCTTTTCCAGTTATAATAAAATATCTATTTACCTGACTTGTACTTAAACCTGTTAAATGTTATTTGCTTTGATGTCTCCTCTGACTCTACTTATATTCAGGCTTGCAGTGTTGCAACCATGACAATATAACATTGCAGTTCCTGTTTTTTTAACCAGTTAAATCATTTGGAATTTATTGGGGGGGGAATCTCTATTCATATGTATGTATAACAAATATATGTGAACGTTGATGTTTATATATATGTATTTTGTGCAATACAAATGAGTTTCAGAAAGTCTTGAGCAAATATTTTAATCTAAAAATAAGTTAAATTTTGGCAATACATTTTCCAGTTAGCGCACTAAAACCCACCAAAACCAGATGGTCTCTCCTATGACTGCCAAGTGAAAGCCCTTAAGAAAATTTTGGTAGCTTCTAATATGTTAACCAAAAAGCTTGCGTTATGTTATGCAGTCACTTTTTATGTCTCAAATTGTCATGGTAGGGAATTATTTTCATTCTATCAAATATAATTTTTTTCCCTGATACAGTAGTTGTGTCAAATATTAAACACTTAATTTTAAAACAAATTTTGTCTAGCATGTTAATTTGGGAAAACAAGTAACAACTTTTAATTAGGAAAAATTTTATCTTGAGCTCATTCGGTTTTTTTTTTTCAATATTGTTTGTTGAAGTATGTGTTGAAGGTAAGAATAAATTGAAGCAAGTCAGCAATGGTAAAAGGCACTATGTAGAGGCTTTAAATTTTCAATTCTTGTTTCTAAAGTACTACTTTTTAGGAAGAACTAGGAATGCATAATGTCCTGAGATTTTGTTCTTTCTATAAAAATTTAGTAACAAGCTCTTGGCTGTCACTCAAGAATCACTCAAGCAGTAATCTACTGAAATTAGATAGCTTGAAGTGCTCATGGCTTGTGTTTTAAAACCTTGGTAGGGTTGTAAGGAGTCTGATTTTTAGTTTATTTTAATTTCCTCTGCCAGTTTGTGGAATTGAACTTTTGTGTACCTGCTGCATCTTTCTGAAGTGATAGAGATTTATCTGGGGTATATGATACAGGCTTTTGTCAGCAGATCTGGAGAACAGAGAGAGGAGATCTACAACTGACTTACCTTGCACATGTCAGTGGTGTGGAAATGCAGTTATTTCTGTCCATGCCCTGTCAGTGCTGGTCTTTAGCTTGTTGCTTTATGAATGCAGTGCACCTGGAGCAGACACAATGTCATGGCTTAGAGATGGGAGTCTCTCCTGTCTGTCATACTGTGCCTACAACAGGAAAATTTTGTAGCTGTGGTAGCTGTTTCAGTAAAAAATGCTTGGCTTTGTTTCTCCAGTGTGGTGTTAGGAAGTATGGGCCTGCATAACGTCTGTGCCTGACTCTGCAAGTTTATCTCAGAAAGGTGCAGAGAAATGAGTGATAAATGTATTACTCAATTTTCACTTAGCACTAAACAATTACATTAAATTCAGATTATTACAAATATAACAGATGAAACAGCTTTTACTTGAGACTTTATAGCCTGAATAAATGTACTCTTTTATTTAGAAGAATTGTTGGTGCAATTCAAAAATAGCTTTGCATGCTTAGTTAGTGATGATTGTTATGCTTCTCTAACACAAATGTTTTCTGTTACTGCATATTCAGACCCTTTTATTTGTGGAAGTTAATGAGAATTTACTAAAAAGATACCACAAAGGCAACACAAAATTAATATAGTTCAATAATAATTTATTTCTTAATGTTTGGTTTGACAACAGAAATTCAAATGTACAGAAGCGGCTAATTAAATAGAATAAGTGATGGAATAGTAATGCTTAGGTAATTGTTAAATAGTTTCTTTGTTGTCACTATTTCACTGTGTTTAATCACCAGGGATGCTCTCAAACTTCTGCAAGAGAAGCAGAAAGGTAAACCCAGTGAATTGAAACCTGTGGTTTCTCCAGCTCCTGCTGCAGTGCCTTCTCCTTCACAAGCAACAGCTGTGACTTCTTATCCAAGGCCAGCAATTCCACCAGTTTCCACGCCAGGACAACCTGCTGCACTGGTAACACTCCCGCTAAGATTTCAGCATTGCTACAGCTGAATAGTGCAATAGTTGCTTCAGTAGCTCTGAGATTTCTAGATCTGGAGAGAGGAAGGAAACTAAGGCCACCCAGATGTCAAGCTCAGTGATGTGCAGTTTTTAGTATGTTTCATTGATTCTGAGGCAATGTAATTAAAACTGTGAAATCCTTGAGGTGATGGTCTGCGTGAAATGATGAAAAAATTTATATTGCAGGCCTTGGAGAAACTAGAATGATGATTTATTTTTACTGTACTTGATTTGTTTACTTTCCTGCAAGATCTAAGTGTCCATTAATGGGTTGTCAAGAAGTGAGGAAGGAAAAGGCTTCTTGGTGGTTGCCTTGGAGAGTAGTTGTGAAAACTCTAGACCCTAAATAAGTTTCTATGTTAAATTGAAATGTTAGAAATACCAGAAAATATTTTTTTAAAGAGTAAATGCCCTTGCTGAAATATACATTATTAGAAATGGAAAAGCTTTTGTGAAAAACATTTTCTGGCTCTAGAACTATATTTGATGTATCTTACCATGCTGAATTTTACCATGTAGCTACAATTCATAATATTCAGAAAATGTTGAATTTTTTTTTTTTTTTGCAGTGTACAAAGAGCCAAACAAAGAACTCAAAAGCTCAAACTTATATCCATTACAGAGTAAAACATTTCTATGATTGCACCAGAACATACATATTGCAATATATTGTGTGTTGAGTACTATTGAATATGTACTAAGGATTCTGTGAAACCTTGTATGTTCAAGGGATATGTGCTAAAGATTAAGTATATAAAATAATGTTTTACAGAATAATTTATCTTGTTTCTTTCTGTAGTCACTAATATTTTAAGAGATTTCTTGCAAGTTGACCAGCTTCTAGGAAGAAGTTTGCCATTAAAATATCTATATATTGGATATATCTGGGAAGAGAGAGAAGAATAACAGAAAAGATGCAGTAAAGCCTATCTTAAGGAACTTACACAGGGATTGAAAAAGCAGTAGTTTACCAAGGAAATGTTATTTTCTGGTTTAAATGGAGCAGAGCATAATCCGCGTAATATGCCAAGCCTGGAAGATGGAATAGTGCTTTTATTCTCTGGCTGAAAAGAAATGCCTCAATATTTGGGCATTTTGTTGTTTTTTTTTTTTTAAACAAAGTTAATTCTATACCATAAAATGGAATTATTCTGTAAAACCTGTTGTGTTGGTCCCAGTTAATAGGAATAGACAAGAACACTCAATGATCTTTGTCATATTTATTTCAGTAATTGGAATGCATCACTTTTGGATAGGGGATAGTTGATGTGGGCAGGAGTCACTGATGACAATGCATAAATGCTGGAGCCCTTTCGCCAAAAGGGAAATGTGTTTGCTGTCTTGATATTTAATATGCAGGATATGATTTCTTTCAGGGCACATTCACAGAAATCCCAGCTAGCAACATCCGAAGAGTTATTGCTAAGAGATTAACAGAGTCTAAAACCACCATACCTCATGCATATGCTGCTGCTGACTGTGCCATTGATGCTGTTTTGAAATTAAGAAAAGAATTGGCCAAAGGTTAGTAGTCTGATTAACGTGTAGTAATACTAATGTGGTTATACTAACATATAATTTGTCCTGTTTGCATAAACTTCCCCAGGAGGTGTAGATTTTATATAGGTAGCATTCAAATAATTTTTTTCAGTATTCTGTATGTTGGACTCAAGCTGTAGTTCCCAGCAACTATGGAATTGGACAACTTGTCAGGATACAGGAAGACAGGGGTGTTACTCTGCCAAATCACACTTCACTCTGAAGTCGTATTTTCCGCAATGATCAGGCTGCATAAGCAAATAGTGGTGCTCTGTTTGGTGATGGAAACATGCACCTCCTAGACTGGTACTAAGTCTGTGACTTGGGTAAAAAAAACCTGTTATTTTATAGAGTGAAGAAACAATAGGGTGGTTTTTCTCCTACTATACTTTTTTTTTTTAAAGACCACAGATTAGTTCAAAGACTGAAGACATTCATGGGAGAACATAGCTGTCTGCACAAGGGAAAAGTACATAAACATAAAAATTTCACTTGGTTTCTTTAGTGTTGTTCCATTAGTTCTTTTTTTCTGGTACCATTTGTGTAGTTCTCAATAGTTCAGCTTTGAGATGTTTTTCCTCATTACCTCATTACAAGAATGAAAAATTGAGTTTTAGATCTAAGACCCTTCAAGTTTTCATCTAAAGCTTCATGATTTCTCTCATAGTTTAAAAGTTTCTAGGTTCTAATGGTAGCTTTCCTAAGCCATGTGAGCTCTGCATTCAGAATAAAACAGCAGAATAGTTTTAGTTTACATTTTTTTTGCTATACTGATTGAGAAACAGAGGCAGACTGTTCTGTACTACTGACTAGCCCATGCTTGTTTATCTGTTTGTGGGATCTAAAATTAAATTTGACTGGTATATTCATATTTCCTAGATGATGATACAGGAGCTACTTCTCCTTCCACTGGAATTTTGAGTGACTAATTTTTAATGCAACTGTACCCAGGTCATTTTTCTACCTGTTATTTTTCCTAATGGTGTCTTATCCACAAGTGAATGTCAAAGACATTTTTTCTGATGCTGATATTTTCTTCAAATAGCAGCAGTTCATAAGGAATGAACCAAAAAAGGATCTTAGGAATACTCACTTGAAATTTTTCACACCTCTCCTGCTGTTTTCAATTCTTAATGAATATTTCCTTTAAATGCAGAGGTGAAAAGCCATATGTCTTTTCATGAAATAGAATTGCAGAGCTTGTCTTTGTAGATTTTTTTATGTTTCCTCTGATAAAAACTACGGTATTTTCTAGTACTATAAACTTCAGTGATGTAGGGTAAAATATTACCAGATGTGGATCATTTAACTGTATTCCTGCTCTACTAGTGGACAGTGACATTTTTGTCAAGGGTTAGGAATGTAGTATGTAAACAGAAACCAGTGTATATTTGATGACCAAGGTATAGGTTTGTCTGATGTGACATTCTGTCAGTGCAGCATAGTAATTGCAAGTTCCGTTATGTTCTGTTGGAATGCTGTCTCTCTTCTTATACATAGATTACTAATCCTGGCAAATGTTGCAGGCCACTTATGTGGTAAGTGGATACTTGGTTCTCTCCTCCAAATTTGTGATGACTTAAGAATGTTTCACTTGATATAATTATCTATAAATTACTTTCCCTTGCAAAAATATTTCTAAAGGTATGTATGTTACATGCCATAAACCAGATTTGAAAGTTAAGCAGTTTTGCTGCTTGATCAGTTTTGTTGTAGTAGTGATGGTGGTGGAAGGATAATGTAGTTTTTTTAATTGTGAGACTGGTGAGTTTAATATTGCGTAAATGTCATGCATTTCAGGGTAATCTTATGGCCTAATCTGCTTTGTATCTATTATCCCTGCTTCTGCTGCCACTCCTGATTTTAGTTACCAGTTTCAGTCTCCTGACACTCTCCTGAGTGTCTCTGCATGAGATTTTTCTTGATGCATATGCCTTTGTCCCAAGGAGGAAAAATGTTTTCTTGCTTTTATTATTGGAATTTGAAGATAAGTGTCTTTCTGTTAATGTTTCAAATAAGTAAATCTGCTGAATCACTGGAATCTTGTCATCAGACAAGTGCTGATACAGCAAATCATATGAACAATGACTGTTATCCTTTTTTTTAATTCTTCTAATTCCTTTTGCAGATGACATTAAAGTATCTGTAAATGATTTTATTATCAAGGCAACAGCAGTTACTCTGAAGGTAAGCAAATAATTTGCTTTAAAAATAGATTTTAATAGTAAACTGCCAAGTAGACAAGAAAAGTATTTTGTGAGTCTATATGGAGAGCTGAATGGGATCACAGTAAAGCTGGTAATTCCATATTGCTTATTGTCAGGTTTTTTATGTTTCTAGGTAAAATTCTCTTCACTGTCTATGCTGTGAACTGTAAAAATGAAAACTTCTTAGTGAAGATCCACTTACTGTAGTTAACATCTGCAAATCACAGTAGTTGCTTTGTCAGCAGACTAAAGCTATTGTCAACATCATTAATCTAATCTTAGTTATTTCTTTTAGTTATAAACATTTATCTAAGTCTTACACCAATCTTGTTATTACCTCAGGTGTATTCTGACAGCACGTTCAGTGATACTTACTTTGAAATAAAATTCTTCTGGCAGCCACTATGCTCATTGCTAGGAATTCTCATTGCCTGGATAACCTCACAATGATATAAAAATGTTGGAAAGGATTAGAGAGCTGGTTTTCTTATTTGTGAGGATAATTTGAACTATTTACAAGTTGAGAGAGGAATTTATATTTAAGTTGGGGAACTATTCGTATTCCTATGGATGTATGGAATTGAGAGAACACTGGACTGGAAAAGACTTAACAGACTTCTAGCTGAACATGTACTAAATATTAATGTATAGTTTTAAGAAATATAGCTTAGGCATAGCTTAATGTGTAATTGCTGTTTGGACAGAAAATAGACAGGATTCTGGGCAGTTTCATAAGCAAGTGCCTGAGAGAAATTTGAGGCCGTATTTACACTGGAATAAAACTCTGCAAGTTAATACCAAAGACAAAAGGAGGAGCCAAATACGTCTGCTGTACTTTTGTCAGATGTGTATGTAACAAGAAGCTTCTTTTAGTGGCCTAATGAAACCTTTGTGAGGAAATAGTGATACCCAAATTTACTGTCAACTGCTGTGAGTGTTGGATGACTTCTCTGCACCAGAGAGTGGGTGGAAGGAATTGAGACAGAGAGCAAGAGATTGTGTTTTGTGTTCTGAGGGGGTTGTTAGCTTTTGAGGTGATAATAATATTGTGTTGATATGGAAGTAAACAATAAAATTCTTCTATCCTATTGCTTTGTTAGAAATCTGTGCTAGCATTTGTTTGACTATTACAATAATACATTAAAAAACCCCAACATATTTAACTCAGTATGTCAGGAAACAAGTTCATGATCAAGCTCATGTCTCATCTACTTTGTCAGCATTTCAGGAAAAGATGTGGGCAATTGCTTTGAAAAAGAAAACACACACCTGTACCTCTCCCCCCTCAAGCCGGGTGGTGCAAATACATCTTCAAGTTTAAATTCAAGGCAGTTTCGCTGACTCTTTTCTGGGGACTCTTCAGAGAATATTTTGCTACTATTTTATTTCTGAACAATGAAAAACGTGTTCTAGCTTTAAAGAGCTGACTACAGCTGGCTTTACAGTTTGATTGTTTGGCACACACCTCAAGATACTGCTTGTATCGGTTCTTGAACATGCTAAATTTCTCCTTCACTTATGATATCACAAGTCCAGTTATGAGTTCTGTGTTTCAGCTTTGTCTTGCTATTTGATAGCCAGGACTTTATGAATGTGCCAGTGGGCTCACCAGGTGACAGCCCAGTAGAGCCATTCTTCTTTCTGGGACAAGGAGGGAGAGAAGTACGGAGGAAGGAACTAAAACTTCCAGGCTGATATCCTCAAGTGTTTGGGCTTCATAACAACAGCTCCTATAGCAACCATCCTTTAAAAAGAAATCTTTCATTGTTGAAGTGACAAATTCCATCCCTACCATCTCTTTTAAATATCTTTATATAAAGTTGCACAGTACCCACTTCAGGGTATCTTACAACTGTGTAAACCATGGGACTTCTAGAAGTTTATTTAGTTTGCAAAGAAGAGTACTAAATACTTTATTATGTTTTCTCTTTTATTTTTATTTTTTATTTACACTATACATTCTGGCGTTGAAGAATAGGAACTCGGAGTACCATCATACTACTTCTTCCTAGGAGTGCTGTTACTTTAGATAGACAGTAGAGTCACTTTTGATAGTGTGTCCCTCCCATTTTTTCTGGAATACCTTCTTCATTTCATTAAACTCAAAAAAACTAAATGAAATTATCAGTAAGCATCTCAATTTTAAGTTAGCCCACCCACAAAAAAAATATGATGCATTTTAGGAGAACATATGAATAACAGTGAGTGTACCTGCAGCATATTTTATTTGTTGAGAATCATGCTTGAAAATCATTCAGTGAAAAACAGCACATGGGTACAGTAGGATGTCTGTTTCCATGCTTTACAATTCAGCATCCTGTGATTTATTTTGTGGGAGACGTTGCACCGCTTTGAAGCTTTACATGCTGGGCCATCATCACATGGTATCAGTGAAGAATTGGATTTTTTGGATCATTTGGATTTTTTTTTCCTAGGAACACCAAACAAACTTCCGTCTGTCCTGCCATTCTTAGTTTCTGGATGCTTTTTGCAAAGTAAATGTAAATAAAGTCAGTGCAAGCTAATTCACTTGGTGGATGCCTGTATGTAGATATGTGTCTTAAAGGAATTTCCTTTTTTTCTTAATATCTGATTGCACTGTTATTCTTCTAACAGCTGTCTTTTTTTTAATTGTCTATGTTTTAGCAAATGCCAGATGTGAATGTAACATGGGATGGGGAAGTCTGCAGGCGGCTGCAGTCCATTGACATCTCCATTGCCGTGGCAACGGACCGAGGGCTCATTACGCCAATCATAAAAGATGTTGCTGCCAAGGGAATAAAGGAAATTGCTGCCTCTGCAAAGGTGGGTCTGAAATGTGCAGCAGGCTGAGGAATAGACCAGCTGTATGGTTTTCTGTAGCAGAAATTGTAGCGTGACCCAGATACACATCAGTAATAACAAAGGCAGTGGATCTAAAGCATTTTCAGCATTACTTACACTTCAAAATTCTTACTAATTTTGCAACTCTTTTCATTTTTAATCAACAATAATATCATGTTATTTAGTTGAATGGTGACTAGACTGCTTGAAAAATAAAACTATACAGACTTTTTCGATTTAATATAATTGTATTTCTTTAATTCTCAAGAGAAGGATACTTAATGCTAGTTTCATTACTATTTCCAGTCTTGAGGTTTGAGATTTCAGGTTGTGTTTTTTCCTGTTCCCAGAAAATTTTTCATGTCTGCTATTTTACTCTCTTTGCAGTTATATTATAGAATGTATTTCCATCTGCATTTTTTTAAATATGCAGTTCAATTAAGGATGTAACATTAAATTCCTCAGACTAATGAGCAGTATTTTGCATAGACCAGGTGCCAGTCAGAGTGATATGTTGCAGTTGTTGCCAGATAAAGGAGTGGGTTTTGGCAGACAAAGTAGAATGAATGATGAAATGTCCCAACACAGGCCTTTTCTTGTCATTTAATGACTGCTAATCAAAGGCCTACAGTATCTGAGGAATGCAATGGAAGAAGATCCTAGGGCATAAAACTGTCCCCAAACTAGATACCACTGCACTTTGTAAATGCTTGCCTTTTGTGTGAAACTACAGAAACCATAATAGTCTGTGGTCACAGAGGGGAACAGCCAAAATGCTGTAGCAGAAAAAGATGGGTCACACCACAAAGCATTCATAAATGGGTGTTTTTAAGATTTTTTTTACCAGTCCATTTTGCTTACTTTATGTAGAATGTGTTGTGAAAACAATTCCTTACACTAATAGCCACTTGAGGAGGAAGGTCAGCTGATATTGTTGTGGGGTTAGTGATAGAATGAAGAAGAAAAGTATTGTTCAATGTTGTGGTTTTGTTATCATACCCAATACCTGTAATAGTGTGAGGTACTGCAAACCTCTCTTACCACAAATCAATGTCCTGCAGTTTCTGTGGTGGAAATGCAGCTTGTGTTAACTTCAGTGGGGCCACGATAGTGAGCATTCCCCTTGCCTTTCAAGTGGAATATGTGTGACATAGATGTCCACACCAACATCATTTTGCTTTTCAATTTCTTCACTGAATTACTGAAATAAATATGTACCTGACATGCACAAGGGCGAGGCTCTGGAACTGCAGCTGCTTCTCTGTCAGTCTCCCTGGAGTTTAGCAGGCACTTCCTTTTTTGTGTAATTGCTTATGTATCCCTTTCTGCTGCATGATAATTTTTACTTCTTTCCAGGTCATGTGCATCCTGGCACTGTATTTACATCATTCAAATAATGCAATTGCACAGATGCATCATGCTTATATTGACCCCGTTGTGTGAATGCTATTCCCATGGCTATTGCCTTGACTAATTATTCAGAGATGAGAAAAAGCCTAAAATGAAGCTCAAAATAAAGTATCCTTGTAACTTTGACATGCTTATTATGATTTTTCAAAGTTTTGTACAACTCTGTGATCTTGTCTTGGAACGTAGTGTGAATTTCTTAGGCTGTATTTGAACATTTCTTCTGTTGAATTTTAAAGGAAAGTCTCACAAATGAAATGGAGATCACAGAAGGAGTGGCCTTAAAAGGCACCATTCAAAAAATAGTTGATGGTTTAGCTGGGAGAAATACATTCATTCAATTTGGTAGAAAGTTCTGAAATGGTACATGTCAGTTTCTTTAAACAAATATTTTAGGAATACTGTGTGTATATCAGTATTTTGCTAGATAGTCTAAAACCACCAGGGAGCATGGTGGTTCCATTGTAAAAACTGGAACAGTATTTGTAAAGTGAGAGAACAGCTTTTATTGAACAACCAATATTGGTATGAAAACGAAGTTTTATTGTCCTAGTCCAAGTCAAATCATTGCAGTCCTAGTCTCTTTGCCAAATCACTGCAGACAGAGCAACAGTGTTGCTGAGGTGCTTCCCTAAATCCAAAAGCAGGTGACTTTTGCTGATTTAATGTCTGTGTGGTACTTAAAACATCTTACTGAAATAAAAAGAATTAGTCTATTACAACACACTAATTGCTTTCTTTTCTCTGCTGGTTTTCTTCTTTGATTTTCTTTAGGCTCTAGCAAAGAAGGCCAGAGATGGAAAACTGTTACCAGAAGAGTACCAGGGAGGATCTTTTAGGTAAAACTAGCAGCATTTAATACATGCAGCATGGGTTCAGAGCCATTTTATCCTCAGCTATTCCACTGTCTTTTAATGCATTGCTTCTGAAATCTTGCTCTGTTTAGGATGAAACTCCATGTGATGATTCTGAGGGTCAAACCTAGACTGAGTGTCTTGTCTCAGGGAGAAACAATTACCTTGGTACAGGTTCATTTCATCTGTACTTGGCACTGGTGAGGCCACACCTTGAGCCCTTTTCAGCTTTGGTTCCATCCCCTCAAGAAAGACGTTGAGGTGTGCTGGAGTGTGTCCAGAGAAGGGTCCGCTGGAGCACAAGTCTTATGAGGAACAGCTGAGGGAACTGGGATTGTTTAGTCTGGAGAAAAGGAGGCTCGAGGGGGACCACATCACCCTTCACCCTTTCTGCCTGAAAGGAGTGTAGTAGTAGTGAGCTGTGGCTTGGTCTCTTCTCCCAGGTAGTAAGTCACAGGAGAGGAAATGGCCTCAAGTTGCACCAGGGGAAGTTTAGATTGGATATTAGGAAAGAATTTTTCATGAAATGGATTGTCAAGCATTGCAGCAGGTTGTCCAGGGAAGTGGTTGAATCACCATCCCTGGAAGTGTTCGAAAAGCAGGTGGATGTGACACCTGAGGACCTGGTGTAGTGGTGAACATGGCAGTGGCCATTTGATGGTTGGGTTGCACCATTTAATCATTTTTCCACTCTTTGCCATACCTATAACCAGAAAGGAGGAGATGGTGTGCCAGCTTTCTCCATAGATAACTTGTCACAGGAGAGTCCAAGCCTAATATACCACTCCACAGGTGGTGACATGGACAGAAATGTTTTTCATGTGCCTGAGTGATACCTAGATGCCCAAATTTATTCTCTTAGTGGATATCAGCCGCCATTGTAAATCGCAGTTTTGAGGTCCAGTCTAAAACACATTTGGCTTGGAACACCTACAGGCAAAATATATTTCAAGACCTTGCTTTGCTGGCTTTCTCCAGTTCTGACTTCAGTGTGTGCAGTGCAAGAATATATTGCTGTAAAGAAATAGGCCTTCTAAAAGGTGCATTATTTTTAATTTTGAAAATTCCAAACCCTTGAGAGTCTGAATGTGCTCAACTGAAAACAGTTCAGATCTATTTTTAACTTAATGGGTTTTGCCTTGAAGGGGATTTAATCATAGTAGTTGTTAAATATAGATTCTTTCTTGTTGGGAGTATGTAATTTCTGATATTACTGAAACTCTTTTCTGTTTTATTTAGTATCTCAAATCTGGGCATGTTTGGCATCAGTGATTTCACAGCAGTCATAAACCCTCCTCAGGCCTGCATCCTCGCTGTGGGCCGAGCAAGAGCAGAGCTCAAGATTGTGGAAGATGAAGAAGGGAATGAGAAACTTGAACAGCATCAACTCATGACAGTGACTCTTTCGAGTGATGGTCGAGTTGTAGATGATGAACTGGCTTCAAAGTTTCTGGAGACCTTGAAAGCCAATATAGAAAATCCAATGCGACTGGCCTTAAATTAAACTCAGTGAAGATTGCTTCCTGTTTTGACAACTTAGATAACTATTATATACTTAGGGTTGTTTTTCTGTATAGAGGAGTAAATAGCTGAAGACGGACAGTTAAAAATATTTAATTTATGAATTAATGTGAAACACCCATGATTTTAGTCTTCTGTAATAACCAGGTTTCGTACTGCAAAGCTAAAAGACTAAAGTACCACATTTATTTAAACACATAGTACCAATGGTACATGTTTGCATAGAAAAGTCAATCTCGTCTGTAAAAAAAACCCTCAATAAAACTTTATGAAATATTAAAGGGAATAATAGAATAATTTGAGTTGGAAGGGACCTTTAAAGGTTGTCTAGTCCAGCTTCTCCTGCAATGACCAGGGATGTCTTCTGAGCCCCACCCACCCTGACTTGAATGTTTCCAGAGATGGGGGATCTTCTACCTCTCTGGGCAACCTGTCCTGTCTTTTACCACCCTCACTGTAAAAATCTTCCTTATATCTAGTTTGAATCTACCTGCTTTCAGTTTAAAATTATCACCCCTTCTCCTATTGCAACAGGCCCTGCTAAAAAGTTTGTTCTAATCTTTCTTAAAAGCCTCCTATAAGTATTATAAAAAACAGAACTTAATTGTGCAAGCAGTATTCTCATAGAGGTCCCAGTATGAAAGGTCAAATTTTGCACACTGAATAGTTGCTGATTAATGCTGTTCTTTGCATGGATGGAATGTAGATGTAAGTAGAAGGTGTTTCATCATCTGTGTATATTGAAATGTAACTTGGAGGCTCAAGTGCAGTGGCCTGAACTTTAACAGAATTAGATTGGCATCTTTCCTATATATAAATATGGAATCACATATTGCATGTAAATGTTACAAAATAACTGTGTTTACAGGACCTCATGAGAATATAAATTTTCTATAGAATTATGGGAGTTTGTCTTATTCTGGTTTGTGCAAATGCTTTTTCCTAATGATTTGTAGGAATTATGGCAGCAGCTCAACAAGTAAACAACTACTTGCAAGATAACCTTTAATTAACACTGAGGTGAGAGTTTTTGCTAAATGAGTTTGCTTCTTAAGCTTCTTCTGATATCATAAATTTCACAAATTATTAGTCTGACTGTAGGGAGAGATTTTTGATTACCAGATACAGCTTACTGTACAGGAATGGACAGTAGAGTCCAAGAGTTTCTTATTTCCAAGAGTTTCTTATTGATAAACCATATTAAAGATCGGTTTCTAAGGATTTATTTTCAATTTGAAGTGGTTCAATTCCAATTTTTCCAAAGCTGTTTGACAACTTCATATTACTGTGAAAAAAAAAAAAAAGGACCAATTTCTATATTGTCCTTAATGTACAAGAGGCTCTCATTATTTGCTGAATCTGCTCTGCCCAGGAGAATTTTTCAAGCCAACCATCAATCTGATTTCCTGCTTTTCACTTGTGTGTGTGTGTTGCTGCAGTGGCGCTGTGTGTTCCCCAGCATCCCTAGGTGGTGCTCCCGCAGGTGAGGGCTGCATGGCTCTCTGTGCCAGTTCTGCATGTGCTGCCATCCCTTCTTGTGAGGCAGTGCTTTTCCTGTGCCCTCGGAGCCACTGGAAGGCGCTGCTGCATGTGAGCGTGGGATGGATGTGTGTCCTGTCTCACCAGAGTGTGTGCTCACATCCACTGTGCTGTCCCAGCAGGCAAGGCACCTGCTCCAAGTTAAATCTTTGGATCTTCAGAACTGGGCAAGGCTAATACAAGCTTGAATTGCAGTTTCTTTACACCTGCCTGCTTTGCCAGCATTGTTATTTGAAGCAGATAGAATTTGTCAGTCATCAGCCTGTGAAGGAAATGTGTGGAATTCAGATGTGTGATAGCAGTCAGATCTCCTTAATTTGGAGGAAATATACCCTTTGGCAGCATCTATTGCTTCAACAGAAGTGAGACAGCAAATGCCTGCCCATACAAATTAAATATTCGGTATCCTTTTGATGATTTAGGATAGAAACAATGGGTCAGTTGCCAGAAAGTGAGTAATTGGTAGTGGGGTATGCTTGCTTTAGAAGCAAATTTTCCTCAAAGTAAAATTTTCACCGATGAAAAATTTAGCCTAATGTGTTTTATTCTTTCAAGTGTCTTCTGACAGCCTATTCTTTACATACCAAAGCAAGAAATATAACAAAGACATATTTCTTGAGTAATTTTGTAAAAAACATTAAAATTGAGTATATTAATATGTGCTGGAAATGTGTGCCTTTAGGATACTTACTATCTTTATATCATTTCTCATTGCAGGAGGCATGATTAAGGAAAAAAAAATAAAAATAGGTATTTTAGTCTTTCTGATTGTTGGCAAATCTTGAGTTGTGTGTCACACTTCAATCCCTAATTGCAATGTCAGAATATTTGACTTTTGGGTTTGTTGTTTTTTTTTTCCTGCCATCTACTCCTTAAGAAATAAAACTTCTGTAATTTATCTTCCTGCTTGATGCTGAATCCTGCACCTCAGGATACAGTTGGCCCTTTTGGCTGCCAGGGCACGCTGCTGACTCATATGCAGTGATGTTCTATTCCATTTGTCCCTAAAATGTTGAAGGCATAGAAAGCAGATTCCTCTAAGCCAGTATTGCAGTTACATCCATAAAAGATTAAACAGGAAAAAACTTGATAAACTGAAAGTGTCTTTCAGCATGTTCTTTAGTTAAGCGTAAGTTTTGAACTTTAAACTCAGGATTTCTTTCTCTGTAGTCATGCTTGAGTGAAGCACGAGGCTATTCATGGTAGCCTGTGAGAGATGTGTAGAAACACGTCCAAGAAACACAGAAACTTAGGATTTGGGTGAAATCATGTGTTGATTAAACTGGGGTGAAAATCACTTACTGGAAGCCTGACAGTCTACTTTGCATGTTTACTTTACAAAATCTACATCTTTCATCTTTCTCAGTGAAAAACCATCACTATTTGCTTGAACTGAGTTTGTGCTCCTTTGCTTTTACGTCAATTTTGTTTCAACTTGTAGGTGTCATGGTACATAATTATTCAGATACAATAACCACACTGTTCTTCCCTTTCTCCATAGTAATGGCCCTACCTGTCAAGTTAAACATTTGTGTCATTATGAGACAATAACTAGCTGGAGAATTAAGGACATTTCTGTTTTTTCTGTACTAAGGAAAATTATTCATGCTATGTTAACAAATGCCACTATTTATCTCCTTAAAAGATAAGAGAACAAGCAAAGTTTCCCTTTTATGTTTTGGAAGTTTTTCTTGTGGCTTAGGAAGAAAGGGCAGCGGTGAACATTTTTATTTCTGCTCACTGTTGTATGAAGAATGAAGTGAATTGTTAGAGCAGCAGATCCTTCCTGCAGTTTCATGGTTTTTGCATTGTCTGTGTGATGTGCATTGCAATACACTCTCCACTTCACTTTGCTGGGATCTGACCAATTGAGGGATACTCTCCATTGACCTAGCCATCAATTAATTCCTGTTTCAGTTGCCTATTTTAAGAAATAATTATGTTTCATTTTGGAGCCTTGGTACTCTTTTATTTTCTCCTCTGCCAAATAAATTATAAGCTTACATATCCGAGGAGGCTATTTGCTTGTGCAGATGCCTATGCTTGCTGTGTCATGTCCCAGTCTGCATTAGCAGCATGTGCTGACTTACTGGAGGTTTCAGCAGACAGCAACATGCTGTTTCCTCCTCCTTGCCTGGAGAACAGGAACTAACACAGATCCCTGGGTTGATCAGGAAAAGAACTCTTCTTGCACTCTTGAGGCTTGAAACTTTCGGCTTACAGTGTGAATTTCAACCTGATATTCTGAGTGCAATATGTTACTTGCTCATTCTAGGATACTAGGAAAGAATTGTACAGTACCTTTACTATTCCTTTAAAGTACAAACAATGCACAGATTCAAGTGAAAGTAACATTCAAATTCTACCCTACACCCTCCCCCCAAGAGTATTTAGAGAGAACCAACTTGCGGTTATTTTGGAGTCAATTCAGAAGTTAATTGGTTGTGCCCAGGGAAATTCATCAGATGTTTTAACACCTTTAACACCCTGTTGACAAATGTAGAAGAATTACAGCTTTTTCAGGTAGGTTTGGAGTCTTTCCTCTGTCAATTAATATTTCGAACCTACTATAACTACCACAGTCTTCAAAGCAGGTGGCGTCTTACTCAAGCTCATAACAAGGGCTAACATTTGAATGACTCCCTGGCTGCAGCAGAAGACACATTTCTGGATATGTGAAGTTATCTGAAACAATGCTTTAAGGTCCTCCTTGGCTGCTGTGTATTTGTATGCTCTCTGACAGCTGCAGACAGAGGCCACAAACAGAGGGTTGAGGCCCTCTTAACTGAAGTGGATAATTCTCACAGAAGAGGAGTGATTATTGAAATTCACCTGTTAGGGCTGTCTCAAATATTATTCACATGGCTTAAATTTTAAGTGTAGTCTGAGCTGCCAAAAAGTCTGAACTTTAGCCAAAGACTATATTTAAGCAGCTGCAGGAAGACATCTTTAATTTTGAAGACAATCCCTATTGTGGAGGGTAGAAGAGATGAAAGAAAGTCAAGAGAAAGGAGTCTTTTTTTACCTGTACTTGAACAGTATTCTTTGTGTAGCATTATCTCTATTTTATTCACTATCAGGGAGTGCCTGGATTTCTTTAAGCCATAAAGTATAAGCAGATGATCTCTGCCTATGTAATTGTCATAGGCAAACTCTGAAGGAAATAATACTTCAAAACTTTAATATTCCATGATGCATTTAGAAAGGGAATTTTACTTCTTGGACCTCCTTTTAAAGGAGATGCATAATTCCCATGTATCTGTATGTGCAGAGACAGACTGGTAAAGACCATCTGCTGCTTTTTCAACCATGTTTGTTAAAGCCTAGCAGATTTCAGCTACAGGATGAACGGGGGCAGGCTTCTGAATTCCCCTGCTGAGACTTCAACATTTCTGCTTTAATGTTCATGTTTCTATGTGTGTGTGTACAGGTACAACACTGGGGGAGGCCTGAGAGAAACCTGCCCTGATTACATGAGAAGAGAGTAATTGCAACATTGCATCTGTTGCTCAAACACGAGTGATGAGACAGGTGCAATGATGGCTGGGAGCAAATACTCTTGGCTAAGAGAGATAACCTGAAGAATCTGTGAAGCAATCTTTGGGTGAGAAAGCAGCCTTCACTTGTACCTACCTCATCACAGGATTTTGGGGCTGTGGAGGAAGGAAGAGTTGTCTTGTGTTAGAATAATTTGTCCCATGCACTTGAACAGGTTTTAAACATTTTTTTTTAATTTTTTGTAAATAATAAAAAGACAACTAACCAAGTAAAACCTGCACTTGTTGCAGAGTTTACTTAACTTACAGTTAAATCTAACAGTCTAGCAAACATGGTATTGGGACTGATTTAGGCATGGGCTAAGCCATTATTTTTCTCTGTGCTTTTCTAAGCATGAGTCCAGTTTAATTTTTAAGCTGTCTAAAGTGGTAGTTGTCCTCCATAGTGGATATATGCACTATAAACAGCTCAGTAGTGTGTGTCTGTATACCATTTAAATCAAACTAGTCATGGATGGTAATTGACAATTTACTTTTATTTTCAGAATTGTGGCATCAATGCCACAGGAAATGCCATCTCTAAAATAACATCAAGCAAAACAAACAAAAAACCAACCAATGAACTAAAACCCTCCTCCTGAATAGATATATTGCTCTACTGAGTTTGACTAACTAGTGCCAGAAAGTGACATTAGGACAGGAAAACCTTAACTTTGTGGAGAACTCTGTGACAAAAGAACTCTGGATTCTTGTATATCCAGTGACTGGGAGGGTGGGGAGAGTTTGTTTTGGGTTTTTTTTTCAGTTTTTAATACAGAAAAATGTGGCTTTGTTATAAGTGACAGTTTTTTTCCCATAGCAAC